ACACACACACACACACACACACACACACACACACACACACACACACACACATTCATCCATCCATCCATTTTCATTTCCTTCCCTTAATTTCCTCTATCACTCGCTGGCTTGCTTCCAGACGCTATTGACCTGCACTAGTTATAACCGCGGCCTTTCCCTGAATCTTATCGATAACCTAAGTACCAGTTAATGTGTTTATGTGTGAGTTTAGCGACGTCATTTGGTTGGGTGTTATCGATACTTTTGAGTCGCTACAGGTCAAGAAATGGGCTGGGCATAATAGACTTGATGACCTCTCTAAGTATTCTAGACCATGAAACCAACTAATGATCGATCGAGCAAAAGTTGTAGGAAAAATATACATCAATATTTATCTAAGCCAATGTTTATATATCGTTAGTGTAATCTTCCAATTATCGAGTTACCGAATACAACTGTCCTTCAAAACTACACACAACCAAGTACTCGATCTGTCTTATATATAGACCCCTTGCATGTGACGTCAAGGCAGCTCTATTTGGAGGACAAAACAAAAGAATTTCAATCTCATGAGAATTGGAAACCTATTGTTATGYCCTCCAAATTGAGCTGCATTTGGACGTACTGCCGGCAAGGGGTCTATTGTCAGTACCTGTTGATGCAACTATTTGGTACCATTTCCAGGAAGATAACCATACTTTGATATGGCAATGTGCCAGTAAATGACGGACGTCATGATATAAACAAAACTCCTCAACCGAAACTCCGGGCCGAAACTTCCGATGAAACTATCATCATAGACATTGCAAATACCATTTCCAGGAAGATACGCACACTTCAATATTTCAATATACCAGTAAATGTAATGATATCAATTAAGCATAATACCTGAACTAAGCTTCGCATTTGTTTATGTTATTATTGGTAAATCTTTAGTACTCTGCATAGTATCTTGATTAAATCTCGCGCGCGACACGTATTGAGTGTAAAACTGCGAAGAATCAAGCTCAAGTTTCTAAGAGTCTAAAGGTTTTAAATGTTGAAAATCATTATTTCGAATCATGGAAACACGCTAAGATTAGATCTATAGTATGAGTAATCATTTTATTCCGGCTTCTGCGCAAGGAAAAGAAAAAAATATGCGCAAAAATGCATTAAATATGTTGAAGAAACGTGGCGTTATCTTACTACTGATGCAGTACCAGAATTCAATTTAGTCATTCGTAATACCTTTTTTGATTTTCTCTAGTTTACAGATGTATGCTGTTTTAACAAGCGATATTGTTGACTCTGATATAATGGTAGAATGTAGACCAGTAGAATGAGTCAGTCTTGGCTAACCCTCTTAGAGCATCCTCAATCTTTCTTCAACCCAGACTACAACTTCAGACTTAATGTTATTTTTTTGGTTTTTGSTTTCACAATCAACATTTTTTGAGTTAGCAATTTTGTTTCTTTGATAGAAACCAAAGCTGCCAATTGCAAGGTTACAGAACTGAAGTCAAAAGACACTTAGTAAAAGTCTTCATAAAATTCGATTCACAAACCTTTGAAGCTGCACTGAGTTCTTTCGTAATACCAGCCCCACTGATGTTYACTGTGGAGATTAAATCTATCGGAATTCGTTTCCGCGACGTACAGAATGATTGATATATTTTCCCAGGAACTCTGACTGGTCAGGGGCTACAGTCTCTTCTGTTTTGGTCAGGTTCTGGTCTGTCAGTTAATCAAGATATCTTAAGGTTTCTTGCGATGATATCATAAGCTAATTATAGCCAAAGCAATAAATTACTATAAAAATTCATAAACAAACTAAAGTTACATTTCACCCCCCTCCCCTCCCCTATCCCTCACCCCCACCAAAGGGCACTAACGGGGGAGGTGTACGAYCCTAAGCTCTGTATGTGAGTATATTTATTATCTATATTTTTGTACTGCGGTTGTAAGGTATCAAATTGAGTCGCTCCTCGCAGTATATCAAGCAACTTATGCAGCTGCAAATTAAATTCTAAGCTCTGTTCGGTGGCTCTTCAAATAATTTTAGAGGCCAATGACCTTAAGGATTGTTTCCACGCACGCTTACCATAGGTCCTCGTGAATAATAAATTAATTTCGCTTCCTTCACTTTCGCTCTCACGACAAAAACCGTGTCTATTCGCCATGTTGGCTCTATTGATTAGTAAACACAACCCATTGGCTTCAGTACCTTTACCTCTCATCTCTTCCATTCAAAAACCCCTCCCCACCCCACCCCCCTCTTCTACCACAACTCCATCCCCCTGGTCACGTAACTCATACCTAACCCAAATGACTTTTAAAAAAAGCTCTATCAAAAAACAATATTTTTTCTACAACACGAGTTTACCTCGCTAAATRCTTATAAAAACGAACAGGTATTCAACGTCTGTTATTCATAATCATGTGCGTGCGTGTTATCTAATACCTGATGTCCTGAATGTATAGTATACACTATTGTCAAATGTCATCGATTGTTATCTTAGTCCTTAATACAATCAATCTTAAAATCCCTAATGTAAATTATTATTTTTGTCGCCTAAATAATTCTAGCTTCTAATTCTAAATTCTAACAAACACGCCCTCAAAAGCGGAGTCGCTTTAATCTGAAAACAAAAACGTCATTGGAATAAATGTATAAAACTCATCATTATGTCATTGTTATCAAGCGCGTATTATTAGCAACGTCATTTTTTCATTTGRTGGTCTTGACATCCGTAACTTCAAGAGGAAAAGTGACAGCTCAGTTTTGAAAATTTTCTCGTTTTTGATACGATAATTGACAAACATTCTTTCTTAGATCATCTGGATAATGTTTAGTATATTTGATTGATTATTTATTATATCTGCGTGACCCACGGTAGTTGTTTGTTGGTTCYAATATGGTAGCGCTTAAAATCCGATTTTGTCGAGAAATTATTACTTATTATTATTAATTTATTACTCACTTGTTTATGTTTTCTGATCCTAAGTGCGCATGCGCGTTTTGATTCTTTTTTTTAGCCCCGCTYTCCGATATATTGATTGCATAAAAAGTTCAACTAAGGGCAGTCGGAACCATGAACTGCATGCACTAGCTGGAGAGCCATAAGTGTCAACGTATACACGGCGGGATATAATTCTAATCGCTGTCGAAATMCTCACGCAATCGGATCAAAAAGGAAAAAAGTAAACTTATTCAATAAAAAGATATAACTAGCTAAAAACTAGTGTGAGCTGCGTCGGTGTTTCTAATGAAACAGTAATGAT